TCTAGCCGTTCGGTAAGGTAAGTTTAAGTTAAGTTACTATTGTCTTTGTTCTACTTTCTTCTTTTTCGTTTCTTGGTCGTAAGTTTAGTACTTCTAGCATACTAATACTCTCTCTTCTCTCTCTCTCTCTCTCTCTCTCTCTCTCTCTCTCTCCCCCTTTCCCCTCTTCTCCTCTTTTTGCATAATTCTTTTTCTTTGCAGGTTAGCCTTCTGCTGGGAACCATTACTCGAAAAATTCCCTTGCCAACTGATGTTTCATCTTCCTCTTCCTCTTCTGATTTATGTAATGCTGGTTCTGCCAATGGATCAGAAGAGGATCTTTGCATGCAACAGCAAGCAATTGTGTTCGATGGAATGCTCGAGTTAAAACAACTGGAAGCCATAGGGGACCACTTCTTGCAAGTTCTCTTGAAAATGAAGCACAATGGTGCCATTGATAAGACCAGGGCTGGCTTTACAGCTCTCTGCAATCGCCTACTTTGTTCAAATGATTCAAGGTACCACCTCTTTCTTAGTATTTTGCATTGATGTACCCATCCTGCTCATTGTTCTTGATATTTGCGATATCAGAATGGCAGCTTTTATGACTTGAAATAGAGTGGCTATTTTTTTTTTGGCAGACTTTGTAGAATGACAGAGTCTTGGATGGAAAAACTTATGGAAAGAATTGTAGCTAAGGGACAAACTGTGGATGATCTGTTAAGGAGGAGCGCAGGAATTCCTTCTGCATTTATTGCCCTTTTCCTTTCTGAGCCAGAAGGAACACCAAAAAAGCTTCTACCACGTGCCCTAAGGTGGCTAATTGATGTTGCTAAATCATCACTGCTCATCTTAAGTGCCCCTTCTGGCACTCATAATTATAAGTGTGGTGACATATCATCTAGTGAGGACACTACGATGAAAAACAAGCCACTATCCTCATCTCTCTTAACATCAGATACCCCCATATCGAGTGGGGTCTCAAAGGTCAGAGATGAAGGCGTGATTCCTACTGTGCACGCGTTCAATGCCCTGAGGGCTGCTTTCAATGACACAAATTTAGCTACCGACACATCTGGTTTTTGTGCTGAGGCTCTGATAATTTCAATACGCTCATTCTCTTCACCTTATTGGGAAATACGGAATAGTGCATGTCTTGCATACACTGCCTTAGTTCGCCGCATGATAGGGTTTCTTAATGTACACAAGCGTGAATCAGCAAGGCGTGCATTGACAGGGCTCGAGTTCTTTCATAGGTATGACATAGTATTCTGGAGTCTTTTGGACTCAATCTCTCTGATCCATCGATTTCTGTTTTATAAATTCTAAATTTTGAACACTTCTATTTGAAATGTGGATCTTATTTGGATACATTTTGGATCTTATTAAAGGTTGGAAACATTTCATGATTTCAGTTCTTGATGAAGCAATTTAGAATTTTCTGCTATGTTATTGAATGCATCTTTTGATAGCATTTCTGCCATATTTAAAATAATGTATAGGGTGTACATTCTTTTCTAATATCTATTATCTAAATGCTTGTTCCTGTATGCAAATGTCTTTTCTTCTCTGTATTTGAGAATGCCTATATATATATGTCTTGGATTTGTCGATTATCGCCTTAGATATTAGTTTGCTTATATGACTAATGTGTCTGTATCGAAGGTATCCATCATTGCATCCTTTCCTGTATGAGGAGCTGAAGGTTGCGACTGAGATGCTTGGTGATGGCAACTCGCAAAAGTCAGAATCCAGTATTGCAAAAATAGTGCACCCAAGCTTGTGCCCCATTCTAATTCTCTTGTCAAGGCTCAAGCCTTCTACAATCAGTTCTGAGTCTGCACATTCCTTGGACCCGTTCTTATTTTTGCCATTTGTCAGACTATGTGCAACACAAAGTAGTCTAAAAGTCCGCCTTCTTGCATCAAAAGCCCTAACAGGCTTGGTATCTAATGAGAAACTGCACGCTACCTTACAGAGTATAGCATATGAATTACCATGCATGGATGTTCTCGGTTCGACTTCTACTGGTTCAGATGGCAACATAAATAATGGGGCATTGGAAGGAAAACCCAGGTTTTGTTCTTTCAATTCTATTCATGGGATGCTATTGCAGTTGAGTTCTCTTGTTAACATAAACTGCCGTAATTTGGCCGATATCTCTAAGAAAGAACAAATTATTAGCCAAATGATGCCGGTGCTTATGACCTGCTCGTGGATTGGGAGCACCAAGCTTTGCCCTTGCCCCACTTTGAATGGATCATATTTACAGGTATTGGACCACTTGCTTAGTGTTGCAAAAGATTCCTCGACGAGCAAATATGTCCTGGTGATCCAAAGCTTGCTTTTGGAGTTGACTTCTGAGTGCTTAGAGCTTGGTGCTCCTGTTGCATCTGATTTATTTGATCCCACGAAAGTGGAGCTTCGCCGTATTTCAACTCTAATTTATTTCAGCTGTATGATTGGAGGGGATCTTGATATGTACAAAGATGGCTCTCACTCCCAAGCCAATAGTGAGGTGGCATCTTCTAATTCATCAAGGCTTCCTGAAATAGAGAGTTCTGTTAAGCTCGATGATAAAATAATAAGTTGCATAAGAGATGCTTGCTATGAAGTTCGACTTGCAACATTAAAGGTTATTCATAAATTTGTAAATTTGATTGAGTCTGATGGGCCTGGCTTCACAATGGGAGGTCATTACTTTGATTGCATGTATGGGTGGGCTAGATTCAATTTGCAACCCATCCTGATGAGGCTCTTAGACATGGAGGACAACCCAAAATGCATTTATTATGTTCTGAGAATTCTCTTCTCTTGGAACTCAATTCAATCCCAAAACCGTGAGGATCTGCTCTTCAAAGAAAGAATGGATGTTAGCAAAATGGATCGTGATTCTGTATTGCGTTTTTGGGAAAAACTTATTTCCTTGAGGAAGGATGTAAGGCATAGTAAGACCAAGGAAACACTTCTATGCTGCATGGGAATATGTGTAAAGCAGCTCACAAAATTTTTCAGGAGAAATGAGCAAATGGCAGCTTTTACCAAGGAATACTCTCTAGAAAGATTGCATGACATTTATAGCTGCATATACTCTTTTGTGCTCGAAATCAGGCATTGCGCTTCATCATCTGAACCAGTTACTATGCGGAAGGCAGCTGCAGAAGCCATGGTCGCATCTGGTTTATTGGAAGAGGCAACATTTGTTGGTACATTGGTGTCTAATGAGCGAGTCTTCTGTTTCGATGAAGAGGAAAGGAGAGGTTCAATTTCTTGTAACTGGTTGGAAACCATAAATAGGTATGCCATCGACATATTAGATCTGTGGTTCACTTGCATCAAGTTATTAGAGGATGAGGATGTTGGCCTAAGGTGCAAACTTTCTATAGCCATGCAAAGGTGTATAAATACCATGGGATTCACTAAAATCTATGAAAACGGTGATGTTCCAGTTCAAGTAGAAAGAGTTCTGGAGTCTACATTTGAGTGCCAGTCTTCAGTCTTTGGCAACTGGTTGGGTTATCTCAATTATCTTTCTGGGCAAGTATTCAATGCAGGTAATTATGTGACAAATAAATGGGATTTGATCCGTAGAGTCTTTGATAAGGAGATTGATAACCACCATGAGGAAAGACTTTTAGTTTGTCAGATTAGTTGTTTCCATATACAGAAGCTTCTATCTAGGAAAAATATTCATGAGATATGGGGGAAGGATATCAAGAGCATGGTGGAGAAGTGGAGAATGAAATATCTGGGACAGATATTATCATTTTCTGAGAACTATATTAATTCAGATGATAGCATTGTTTGGATTGCTGGTATAGCAAACCATCAAGATGCATTCATATCATTGTATGCTAATTTATTAGGCCTTTATGCCTTCTCCCATTGTCCTGGTGATGAGAACCACCCACCATTTGAAATTGTTTCTGGTGTGCCTCTGTATCCTGGTCTTGTTGGACTTGGAGGAATCATGACACCACTACTGAGGAACCCACTGATTTCAAACCTGTATTTCTTAGTTCTTAAGGTGTATGAGAAATTGTCTGGTGTTAAGTTGTGCTCTTCAGAACAAAATAAAAACAGGGACCTTTCTTGTTGTCAAGGTTTCGACCCATATTTCTTGCTGAGATGAGGATAGGCTCTAATGCCCACATTATTAGTTTCATGTTGGTTTTGTAACTGCGGAATTGTACATAGTCCAGATGAGGCAATTCTTGGATTCTCTATTGATTCTGGAAGCCGGTGATTTGAACCAGTGCAGAAAGGTCAGTTCCAGATACCTTTTCTTTGTTTAAAATTTCAGTCAGATGTACCTTTAGTAATTTTGGATGCCTGAGCAAAATCTGATGCATTAGTTAATATTAAACTGGATAGTGTTTTGATGTATAACATGAAGTTTTATGGTTTAGTAAGAATACTTGGAGCATTTAGGCCATCCATGTATCTATTCATTGTGTTCTTGAAAGTAGAAATATTGATTTTAAATATTGGCCGTTGACAGATTTTGTGTTTCGTTCTATTCCTATTTCCCGAGATTGAAATGGACTATCAGCTGTCATAAACGTTTTTAGGCTAGCTTTAACATCCTTGCTGAACTGCAACCTGTCAAATTGTTTGGCAGAGCAGTTAATCATAAATTAACCATGATTGTGTAAATTTTTCTTCTATTGCTCATGAAAGAATTTATTGAGACTCACTGCTCTTTCAGATCCATAAAGTATGCGGTTTGCATGGTGTCACTATGCTAGTCTTTTGATTTTCATTATTTGGTTGAATAAGCATTTATGTAAGGAAAAAGTTTATATAGAGCCTAGGCTCTAAACAATCAAATTAGAGCCCACCTCAAAAATTTCGCTAGAAGGGGTTGTTTTGATGCCCAAATATCCTCAAATTGATCATCTCGACATCAATATGCATGGACGTGAGAAAAAAATGGATTTCAAGTTTTGGAAATAGTGCATCTTGTAACATATTTTTGGACCGTCAATTTTCAACATTTTCAAGTTTTCATAGATTTGCTCGATCTACACTATTTTTGAAGCTTTAAATTTTATAATTAAGGATGAAAATATATTTTAAGGCTATCACAAAGATCTCCAATATTGAAACTACATTTCTCGACATTATTTGAAGGTGCGCTTTACTTTGATTGTTTAGAGCCTCAGCTCTATATAAACCGCACCCTGTAAGGAATCATACAGAATTATTTCAGTAATACTTTGTTTGTCTTGGGAAAAATGTTTAACGACAACAAAGTAATGAGCTGCGTCAGCTGTGACCAGAGATAAAAAACCTGGAAGTGTGTTCTTTCCTGCCAAGGTCCTGAGCTCAAGTTAGAGACTGACTCGGCTAAGTTCGACTGCCAACCGTGCCGGGTCTCAATTTTAAAATTCAAAGAACTTTTAGGACTTGGGTCTGACTAGCTCGTCTGATTTTTAGAATAAGATATCCAGACCTGGCACCTGGCTGGGTCCAAGTGACTCAGGAGAGTTCGAGCCGATGTCCCATTTTTCAATCATCGCCTATGTATAAGATCCAGTAACTGAGGCATGTATGGTGCAGTCACGGTTGAGATGTTGGACGACTTGAATATGTGAGTCCATTGAAATGAAGGATATGAACGAGTACCATGATAAAACCTTGCAATGGGATTCAACAGATGTAGAATATTGAGAAAATTTGTTTGGCCTTCTACTAAAGGGCTTCTGAGAAATCTGCAAGGTAAAATTTTTCGTATAAGAGGAAGACTAATTAACATGCAATTTTGGCATTCTAACCATTCGTACCCTATTGATTTCGACATCGGAAAGCTTTTGTGGTACTATTGAGACAAGTTTTGCGAGTTAGACAAGGTCAATGTCAATCGGTTATGGGCATTCAATCAGATATGACTGATTCCCATCATCCAACATTGGCAGCATAGGTGGATGTCCCAGTCGTGTAGCATATATACCATTGACCACTGGTATCGCATATGTTACTTTGGTTCTTTTAATAGAATAAGTGAGGCGCACTTCTGCCCTGTCTCTCAGCTTTGAAGGAGAGCTCTTGGTCTTCTCTCTACATCTTGTATATATCCACCCTTTTCCCTTGAAAACTAGTTATACCTTGAGGGATGGAGAGAGGCCACATTGTTCTTTAAAGGTTCACTGCTTAGGTTGGCCTTTCTTCCCAATCCAATGAATTTGTTTCATTGTATTTTGGGTGTATAGGAATGTATTGTGTGTGTGAGAGAGAGAGAGGGAGAGAGATTTTAATATTAGTTCTCATTTAGCCCTTTTTTTAGAGAGAGAGATTGATTTTAGGGAAAATTGTTAAAACCCCCGAAGATGGATTTTTTACCCACTTTATACCCCACCTAACTTTTCCCAGCAACTCCCCTCAGAAAATGATGTTTCTAGCTGATACCCCTTACACAAAAGCTTTTCCCAGCAACTACCCCCCCCCCAAAAAAATGATGTTTTCTAGCTAATACCCCCGACACAAAAAAAGTTCACTTATTTTGGATGAAAATACCCTTCGCTCATATAACAAATTATTTTTGTTAGAGAGGCCGGTCCGGCATTTTGAACAAGCCGTTTGGCAATTTTTTGCTAGAATGGGTGGTTCGGCGTTTCATGGTGGCAGTCCGGTGTTTCATGGTGGCGGTTCGGTTATTATTTTTTTGCTGGAATGGGCGGTCCGGTATTTGGAAGTTATGGTACGAGATTTTGAAGTTGCGGTCTGGCATTTCGAAGGGGTAGTCCGGTGTTTTGATATGACAGTCCAGAATTTTGTAGGAGCAGTCCGATGTTTTTTAAAGTACACTAGACTGAGTAGTCCGGCGTTGTACAAATGCGTTCCGGCGTTTCCTTTTATTGGGATCCCGAAATGATTTGTCATGTGAAGGAGGGTATTTTCGTTAAAAAAGATGCAACTTCTTGAGATGGGGTATTAGTTATAAAATATGGTCTCAAAATGATTTGTCATGTAAAGGGAGGGTATTTTCGTTAAAAAGATGTAACTTTTTGAGTTGGGGGTATTAGTTATAAAATATGGTTTTTGAGAAAAATAAGTGAGAGGAAAGTTTAAGGTGGGGGTAGAGTGTCGAAAAAAAATATTTTTAGAGGTTTTTATCAATTTTTCATTGGGTTTTATTATTAATCCCTAGAGAGATAATTATTAGCCTTTACTGTCAGCAGGTTGTGATTTACTATAGTTTCCTTTTCTTTTGGAAAACAAATGCACGATTGTCTATATATCTCCCCCATGTAAACCTGAATGGCTGGCAATAAAGCCAAACCAATCTGGTGAACACCGTAGATTCCACCATTTTAAAAGTGAAAAAAAAGACAAAAAAAGAACAACTACTACCGTCTTCTCCTGAAAAAGAATCAGAAGGGACCCCATGTCTCTTCTTACCTTGGAACTTTAACGATTACTTTATAGACACTCCCTATCTTTAACTTAAAATAATGGTGAATCTAATACCATGCCTTAGTTACTATCTATATATGATGTTTATCCATTCGTGGAATACTATTCACAACCGGCCTTTGCAACTCTATTTAAAAGAGTATATGATGATGACTTTTTGATGCTTGAAAACATGGCGTTAACCTCGAAAGCCTTCTATTATCAGCTCAATCTCTCTCTCTCTCTCTCTCTAGATTACACTCTCTCTGTAGATTATGTTATGTAGATTATGTTATGACGACGTTTTGGAGATCTTTCTCTCTTTCTAGATTACACACTCTCTCTCTTGATTACATTATGATGACTTTTGGGAGCTTTATATTTCTCTCTTTCTCTCTCTAGATTACATCATGATGACTTTTTGGATCTTTTGCTTAGCAGCGGTTAGTGGGGCATTCTAATGGTCCTGTAGGACCATCCCCCATACCAACAGGACCATCCCCCTTACCAATAGCATGAGACCTCAATCAGTAGCCGTTATATCTCAATGGGATTTCGAGTTAATAACAATATTACCGAGTGACCCGCTCACTAGGTAAGTCGTAGAATACAATAAAATCAAAACCCTCTTCAGCTCCTGATTTTTTTGCTTTTTTTTTTTTCTATTCTGTTTCTCTTTCATTTTCCAATCCCATTTTAGGTCTCTAATTTCTACTGGCCATGACCATGAGCGAGCCCTTTTCTTAACTCTGGGCGCTGCTCCCAAGGAAACTAGTGACTTTGATGCTTCAAAAGAGGCCCTAATGAGTTAGAGAGAGCGTGGGGTTGCTTTCTTGTTGGAACTTCCTTTTCCTGGTTACCATCATCTTTTCTAGCCACTCTTATGGAAGTTTCTCAAACAACTCCCATTTTCTTCTGTCTCCAACCGCATCTTTCTCTTTATAAAATTATGAAAGTTTCTCAGGAAAAAGCTGCAAGGTATTTTGTTTCTGGTTGAAAGGGAATCAAGGGCATTTAAGAATGAAAAAGGAAATCTTCTTCCATTCTTGATATGATCAAGAGACATGATTCTAGATTAAGGAGGGAGCATATAGCAGGCATGGGAAGAAACATTAAGAGAGAGAATGATTTCAATAATTCATGACCACTTGCTTGCCCTTCTTTCTATGCTAGAGATTTTCGGAGTCGTCAGTACCACCAAAACCCCATAACTCAAAAAAAGACCAAGCGGTGGCAATAACGTGCCCTGTGAATTGTCAGCAAATGCTTTGGACTCTTCATCTTTTTGGTTGAAAAACGTCCATCTTTGTTTCTTTGCTGGGCTTCGAGTTTCTTTCTCTCGAATCTTTCGCGAAGCTAATGATTTAGTGGATCGACTTGTTGAATATGGACTTTCTTTATCTTCTTTGTTGACTTTTGATTCTTTGATTCCAAATATGTAATGGATGCTTTCCAAGCACCCATTCAATAAAAATACTTAATATTTGTCAAAAAAAACAAAAACCTAGTACCCCGTCAAATAAAAAATAACCCATCTCTATTGCCAGCAAATTGGTCTTCCCTGTTTCTCACTCTAAAATAAATCGGTTTACATTGTTTCTCACTCTAAAATGACACTCTTTCTTGACCGCCCTCTTCTCTATTGCTGCAAATGTTTTGCTGTGTTTCTCACTAAATGGAAAGACCCTGTATCCCTATTTTGAAGCCCTTTTAAGTCCATATCTCCCTATCACCTATCCCCTACCCGTCCTTTCTCTTCAATCTCCATAGACAACCTTAGCTATGTACCTGTCATAGACTCTCTCTCCACCATTATTGACTCCACAACTTTATTTGCACAAACCTTTCTTTCATGTGGATTACCAAATATAAAGCTTTTGGAATTGGATTAACAATAGCAACCCCAGATCGGGACAGATCTGTCCATGGAGAGAGACTGAAATTGTGAAAGTGGGAAATTGGGATAATTAAGGGATTACCTTTTTTTGGAGAGTGTGCTTGGGCTTTCCCTCTCGGGTCAGCAGGTGGCATCTCATATGATCAGAGGGCCCACGGGATCAAACAGTTAGGATTTGGGTTCTCACAGGATCGTCATCATCATCATTATAGTTTTTTTCCGATTATTTGGGGTCGGCTACATGAATCACGATCTACCGTTCTGCTCTATCAAGGGCTATGCCTTCAATGAGACTGAGTCCCGAGCACATATATTATAACCCTGTGGTGTATACATCTACTCCGTCGCCCAAAACACCTATTAGAAAGATTTTTTTGGTTAAAAATTTTTACCCTACCGTCTATACATCTACTCCCTCGCCCAAAACACCTATTAGGAAGATTTTTTTGGTTTAAAATTTTGGGAATCATCTAAGAATTACTAGATATTATTTTCAAAGAAAAAATTAAATTTTGAATTTTGTGACACTTAAATCTAGCTCTTAAAAAATTGGACCGCCTTAATTCAATCTTGAGGCGCTAGTTTTCCTAGTATATACGGAGTTCATTTAGAAATTTTTTTGAGTTGAGATTATCGTATAGGTTGTAGAAATTGCATCCTGAAAATTTGAAATCTAAAAAATGTCCCTAGCTTATGTTTTACTTGAGCCGAGGCTATTAAAACCACATTTCTAAACACTATTGGAAGATTGGCTCTAATTTGATTGGTTAAACACTATTGGAAGGTTGGCTCTAATTTGATTGGTTAGAGCCTATGCTTCATACAAACCGCACCCGGTAAAAACACAGGAGGTGTGGTGCTGTGTGTGTATGGTATCTGAGTGAGTGGTGAATCTCTGTGGGATCATATGCCATCTGTTTGTTCCTTTATTTATTTGTCCTCACTGAGAACAGCCTATAACACGTCGGTTTTCAATAGTAGATCATTGTCATCCCAGAAAAGACAGATGCCTTTTATTGAATCATGAGATTGAGAGGGAGAGAGACTCTAATATTGTTTTTTATTGTTTGGAAAGTGTTTTTTATTGTTCCAAGAATACATTAGAATTGTGGAATGGCAACAGAAACACAGATGGAGAGAGATCTATTCATTTTTATATTGAATAGCAATGGAGAGAGAGTCCTATATAGTTCTGTACTGTTGAACCGAGACAGAGAGACTGGAACCAGCTGGGTTTTCTTGAAACGGCCATTGCCCTGGGCGGTTGGGTTGCCAACTCAGGAACTTAAGAGAAAAAAATTCAAAAAATTATAAAAAACTAAAAAACATAAGAAATTCGTTGTTCTAGTTTTTTTTTTTTTTTTAATGTTGTCTATTGTTTTGGAAAGATTGGGAAGTATTTTAACTATAAATATTTATTTCTACAATACCTTGGGCCCAAATTCATTGTTCAAAAATCTAATTTTTTGCTTTTTTTTTTAATCTCATGTGGATATATTTTGTTTAATTATATTCTAAACATATTTTTCATTTTTTTGAGTTTTTTTTAAATTTTTTAAAATAATTGTTTAGACCCATCAAGACTATCCCGATTAGAGTCGGGAACTTTTTTTTTTTTTTGTAACATTAACACAAGGAATTAGGGCGGGGTATCTAGACCAGTTCCATGTTACCATGGTTGCGTCCCGTTATGTGGTCGTGTCTTTTAACCCTGAAAGAGGCAGAGTAGGGGTGGCAACAGGTCGGGTATAGGTCAGGTCCAACTGGATTCGGATCCAGACCTGAATATATTTGGGTCCAGGTTTTGGACCCATACTCATACCCGTCGGGTGTCGGGTCTATCTCGTTGGGTCCTGGGTCTATCCCGTCAGGTTCTGGTTTTGGTTGGGTCTATTGCAACAATGACTATGAGCTTCTTTTTTTATTTTTCATTTTTGTTTTTTTTTTGTCACTATTGTATACCTATATTATTGGCAACAAGATATGAGCTTCTTCTTTTATTTTTCCTTTTTATTTTTATTTTTCACTATCATATACCTGTATTATTGGCAACAAGGTATATCTTTAATACACCCAAACAAATAGAACTTGAAGTATTTTATCTCCAAAAGTTTACGGGTACGGGTCTGGGCCAATCGGATCCGGACGTAGACCTAAATAGGGTTCATGGCCACTTTTTGGACCCAGACCCGACCTACGGGTCCAAATGTTGGACACATAGCCAGACCCATTCGGGAGTACCCGTCAGGTTCAGGTCGGGTCAGGATCCCTTGCAACCCCTAATAGAGAGATATTATATGGCAACCTCGTGACCTGATTTATTCAGAGATTTCACATGTCGGGGTCCATCTTTGTCTCTCCTCTTTCCTTTTGTCTTTTCCATGCAACAAAGGAAAAAGGTGTCTGTCCATCTCAATCCTTAACAGGGTTAGGTGCTTATGAAATGACAAAAATGCCCATGATTCTTCTGATAAAAATTAGGTCCTCCACCAGTAAACCATTTCCCATCATAGTACAGGTTTTAAGTGAAGAAGTTAAAGCGTCCAAGCTTTTGATTGAAGAAGCTGAAGGGGTAGTTTGGTCTTTAATCCTATCAGGAGGTGCAAACAATTTGTCTGGAGGAGTGTACAAGTAGTTAGCCATGGAAAAGTTGCAGGCGGGGGCCATTTTAGTCATAATAAAACAAAAAAACCAAACCTAACCATTGTGTGCCTTCTTCTCTCTCTAGCTCTAACAAACCCTAATTTATTCTCAATACCCATCCCAAAAATGGCCTTGCTTCTCTTTCTAGCTTTCTTTCTCCCATCTATTCCCCCCTCAAAGCCAAACCCAACCATGCATTGTTTTCTCTCTCTAGCTTCTGTTCTACTTTTCTCCAAAGCCATGGCAGATATTCTCACAGGCACTGATGCTCCTATAGCCTTTAGGTGTGGCCCAATCAATACTACCACTCCTATCAATAGGAGTAACAACCTCTCCTCACTAATAGACACCATGAGAGAGAAAATGGGCCAAAACAACTCAAAGTTTACAGCTCTTTCACTAGGCCAAGGGCCCAATATTCTTCATGGCTTGATCCAGTGTAGGCTCGATCTGTCGATGCAGCGATGCTTCGCCTGCGTCAAAAATGCAGGACTTTCGATCGCCCATCGATGCCCGAATTCCACTGAAGCTGCAGCCTGGTTTGATGACTGTGTCGTACTCTACACCTACTCAAACAGGTTAGACCGTGAATTGAAGCTTTTTGGAGTGAAATCCAATGGATCCCACTCCGAAAACAGGGCTGCCTTCTCAGAAGCTTTGTATGGGTTGCTCTACAAACTTTCTTCACAAGTTGCAATTGAGTTGCACCATGGATTTGCGGTGGGAATGACTAGTTTTAGAGAGACAAACAAGGTTTACGCCATGGCTGAGTGCCTGAGAAACATCCCAAGCCTTGAATGTGAGAGATGTGTGATATGGGTGGTTGACCATCTCCATGAGTATCATGGGGATGAGGTTGGAGGAGAAATTATCAATGGAAGTTGCAGGGTTCGGTTTGAGAGCTATCTTTTCTATGATGATTCAGTTTTTAGAGAGAGAAAAGGTGAGGAGAGCGGAGTGGTTGTTGTATATAGCAAGGGTGGGGGCTCGTGCAAGGGACTGTTTGGTTGTAAGGATAATTTGATGAAGGTGCTTTGGATTGTTGCCATTGCTTCCTTAATTGGGATTGCATTCTGTTTTTGTTTGATGAAGAGGAGGGTTTCTAAGGTGGCAAGTTCTCAACTTGAAGATAAAGCACATATGATGCATGGTCCCCCTTCGACGGCCTAGATTCGTTTCAGAAGCTGGATCGACGGTTCACGCTGGCCCAAGTTAGCCTTGTGATTGTATTATAAATCCAATTTTCAATCGAATATGTTACTAAGCAAGATCAAGTCATTTTAGTCTAAAACCTTAGCAGTTGAAAGGATCAACTAAATTCATGGTCTTTCTTGTTAATATAATATTTTCCAAGCAAAAAAAGAAGAAAACAACCAAAATTCCATGTGCTTTCTTCTATAAAGGAATTTTGGTTTTGTTCCAAGGCATTGGACTATTTACTTAGAGTTGGGCCTTCTATTGAAACGAATTTTTGGGCGCAGAGAGAGAGTGAAGCACTTATATTAACTCGCAAAAAATAATTTCCTAAAGCTAAACTAACCTATTTTTTGATAGGCACATCTAAGAGTTTGAGACCATAAATATATTTTCTAAGTGAGGGCATCGTCCTTGATAGAGCAAAATGGTATAACATGATTTATTTGACCACCCCAAATAGTTGAAATAGGGCTCAAATGATCATCATAAATCCGTTTTTTTTCAAATAAATGCTCATATGGTGATTCCAGATCTAGGTCCGGTCTTTTGCTTAGAAGTTTTTAGTGTGCTTCATGGAAGTAGGTCTTGGTCCTTTGTCTATGAAAGTATCATCATAATCAAAGCCGTTTTCCAACTAATTAGGATCGATTATATGAGTCCGCCATTTTATTCTATTAAGAGCCATACCTTCAGTGAGCACAGAAGTCCCTATATATTTTTTCACTACTTCCAACCATTGTCTTTTTGGATCTATTCTTGTCTTTTTTTAGTCTTCCACTTGAATTAACTCGTACCTTTTAATTGATGTTGTATTGGGTCTGCACCACACATAACCGGCCCACCTAAATCAACGCACTCTAATCCATGGAAGCAAGTCTTTGGTCATTTGCCTGTGTGCCCACCGTTGAGAAGTCTATCATGTGATCAGGATAGTGATTGGGATAGAGAATAAAATATTATTGTTTACTTAAGCCACGAGGTTTGAAAATTCGAAAATGGCCAATAAGAACATCGAATCATATCTTTGATGGCAACCCAAATCGAAAAAAATAGGACGAATCCAAAGCTACATTTTGATGACAAGCCACATGGGTTGTGTTAATCTCTTGACGAGTGGAGGACATGTCCTCTTACATTTGTATGGACCTTAACAACTGAGTGTGACTTGCTACTTGGACTGCTATCTCCATTTCTTGGTAGTTGCTAGAAAATGGAGACTTTCATTTACAAATGATGATAGTAATTGAAAATAGTGAAACTAATTTGGAAGTATACAATAGAAATCATGCTAAAGAAATCACGATTAATTTAGACCGTTGAATGTAAAATTATATGGTAGGAGATGTTACGCCGATCAAAACATTTTTGTATTGGACTTGCAAATTTTTGTTCTGGACAAACACTTTTTGATCATCATGTTTTCGAAATATGGGTTAAAATGAGGGGTATTTTTGTTTAAAAAACTAATTATTTGGGGACGGTTGCAAAGAAAATAATATTGAGATTAATAGCATCGTATCTAAAATGTTGGGAAGGATGCTTAGAAAGTATAAATTAGAGGGTTGTTTATAATTTTTCCTTAATTTTAACGGTTAAAAAATAATTAGATCTGCACTTTTTTTCGAGCTCGACATTCATAGGTTTGAGACTCAATTTGATTTGCAGTTTTGGGATATGTTTTGAGTCTTAGGTTGAAAAAGAGGGCAGATGCATATTCACAATAACTTTTCTATGGATACATCATTGAAGTAAGTTTAAAACAAGAAGTGCAGGTTATGAACTTAGAAAAAAGAATGAGCTATCAGCATAGAAACTTTATGTTTTTAGAGGTACAGGGAACATATTCTTAGTTTTATTTCTATTGTTTATTTATTTATTTTTTTTGAACTTTATATTTTTGTTTGAATATTATTTGTTGATTAGCCATTATAGACTCCACTCTCTCAAAATGGAAAGTACCCCGACATGAAGCTCTGAGTTCTAACTCCTGAACAATAATTTTTTTAACCTTCAATTCTAAACAATAAAATTTCATGGGGTTGTATATATAAGATTACTTATTTTTGATATAAGGTCACAATCACCCGTAAAATATGGCAGCCAAGAGTATATCACAAAGTTTCAAAAAAAATTTCTTGAACACTGAGCATGATCCTTAGTCATGTAATTTCATATTTGACGATAAAGGATGATTGTAACCTTCTTATATCATCAAAAAAAGAGTGGTGTTGTTGGAAAGTTTCTCAAACTTTATTTCTAAGAGAACTTCAATAAGATCAACCTTAGGCGATGACACTCCTAAGACACTACTAAATCTACACCATCCATTTAAAGTAATTAGTGTCAGTTTAAGTAAAGTTGTCACCTTATATAATTTTTTTTTTAAATAATAAGTTAATTTATTAGAAAAAGATTATATATGGCATCAACCATATAATAAAGGATTGAGGTGCACCTCAAAAGCTCATGTGAAAAGGTTGTTCGGATATTAGAAAACTGATATGCACAAAGAAAAAAAAAAAAAAAATCATGTCATCAAAATAAGGAAAAAGTTTATATAGAGCCCGAGGTTCTAAACAATCAAATTAGAGCCTGCCTCAAAAATTTTACTCGAAAAGGTTGTTTTGATGCCCAAATATCCTCAAATTGATTTGGCATCAAGATGCACGGACATGAAAAAAATAGATTTCAAGTTTTGAAAATAATGCATTTTGTAACACATTTTTGGACCGTCAATTTTTAAGATTTTTAAGTTTCACAGATCCGCTCAATTGACACTATTTTTGAATTTTATCATTAAAGATGAAAATATATTTTAAGGCTATCACAAAGATTTTCAGTATTAAAACAACATTTCTCGACACTATTTGAAGACGTGCTTTACTTTGATTGTGTAGAGCGTCGGTTCTATACAAACTGCACCCTAAAAATAATGCATCTTTTTGTAAATACATTAGGGTCTATCCATTTTCAGAATTTCTAAGTGTGTGTGTATCTATTTGATCTACAATAGTTTTAGAGCTTTAGGTTTCATGATTACGGGCGGATATGGATTTTCTGGTCATCGTAAAATTTATTGATAGCAAAATTATATTTTCTAACAATTTATTGATAGCAAAATTATATTTTCTGACAATTTTCTAGTGTAATTTTTTAACGTGGACGCCTTATATAAAATACACCCTAGTTTATTTTGTTTGTTTCTGACGTTGTAGGGTGTAGTTATCGTTGCAGGTCATATAGACCTCAAATGTGCATGGAAATATTGGGTGTTCAATTTTTTTTTTAAAAAGGAAATATTGGGTGTTCACTGTTCATGAACCGCTGCAAAAAGTTAAAAAGTTAATGGTACGTGGGTTTGAAATAGCTAACCTTTTATAAGGTGTCAACTTTATACTGCACGAGTAAGTTACATTGAAAAAAACCACTAGTGATTTTTATACTGAAAAACCTTCAAATCGATCTTCTCGACCTCGAGATTCATAGATATAAAAAAAATAAAAATTTAGTCCTAAAAATAGTCCATCTTTTGATACATTATACGGACCGATCATTTTTAAGTGTATATAGATCTGCTTGATCATCAGCATTTCTAAAACTTTAAATTTCATAATTGAGGATAACAATAGATTTTCATATCATCACAAAGCTTTACAGTACCGAAACTGCATTTTCAGCATTAATTGGGGTTAACAATAGATTTTCATATGCTTTGCAATACCAAAACTGCATTTTCAGCATAGTTTAGAGGTGCATCTTATCTCATTAATATAAAGTTGACACATTATACAAACCTGACCCCCAAAAGAAAGATGTAAAATAATATAAAATCGACGCATTATACAAACCTGACCCCCAAAAGAAAGATGTAAAATATCTAAGGCGGCTTAAGGGTGTAGTGCTACAACAGTTTGCCTTTGCCCATGTTTATCGCCTCAAATTTCACACCCACAAGCTTTTTGCCCAGCTAAGAATTTTTTTTAGGTTAAGTCAACAAGGTCTTTTTCACTTGCAGCAGGAATGGAGTACCAGACATCATGTTGTAGTGCCCCATCACTCTAAGCACCTAACCTTGAGCCCATCCCTACTAAACCCGAGACAAAAAAGCTCACGAAAATAAATTTTAAAATAAAAATTCTTGAAATTATTTTTTATGAGCTCGTGAGCATAGACCATTTATTTCAGGGAATAGATCTAGCCCTTCGTCAAAAAAATATTCTGTATGGAAATAATGAGGTAATTTGCAAAACTTTGGGTCAAACAAATCCCTATAACCTCAATCGGACACTATTTCCTTTTAAAAAAATCTAAACACTGGATGACATGTATTATGATGTTTCCAGATTTTATTTATCAAAATTATTATCATGAATTTCTTCACCAATTCTAAGAAAATATGCGCCAACTTCAATTAAATTTGGACATCCTCAATTATTTGCTTCTAAAAATGGGTGCTGTTTATACAAGGCATCCAACTTAAACAAACGCGCACTTTCATACTCTGTTGAAAGATGCAATTTTGTTGTCAGAAACTTTTACGATAGCTTAAAAATTCATTTCCACCCGTTATGAAATTTAAAACTCCAAAATTGGGGTAAGCTGAACACTATCATAATGGACAATCTAAATAACATGTTAAGACCTGCTGTTTTTTTTTTTTCATATCCAACATCTCCATATCGAGATGATCAATTGGAGAGTTTGACAGTGCAGCTAATTTGTTCCAAGATGCATTATTTTTAGGACCTAAAAGACTTTTTTTTCCTATACACATCATCATGATCGATTGTAGAGTTTTCAAACATCATAATCGCTTTCCAATGGGGTTTTGAGGTGTATTTCACTTCCACAACACCTTGTATAAACTTTTCCCTATATTAAATTGAATTTTTACCAGGAAACAGTCTGATTTCTTAAGATTTTAGTCAAATGAATTATAGATGCCACTTACCTTCTTGCTTTAAATCTTTTAAGAGCAAACCTGATAAAATTTTTAATTAAATGCACATAGATCATTAGGTGTATTTTACAAAGGTGCAGTTTGTCTAACACCTTAAAGAGTAGAAGTAGAGCTGCATCTCCAAACACCATCCAACAATGCTTAGTTAAGTGTCAGAAACCCCAATAATAGCTTGAAAATCTGTTTCTATCCCTAATTATAAAATTTAAATATTAAAAAATGGTGTAGATCTTGAAAAACTGTAGTCCAAATATATTAAAAGATGCACTACTTTTTTAGCTTCAAATCTCTTTTTTGGTCAATAATTGTCAAGATCAAGATGATCAATTTGAGGATCCTCCCGATGCTGGAACAATATTTTCTAGTGGGCTTTGAAGGGTATCATTTCTTTCTTTGTTTTTCATAAGACAGGAACCTTATTAAACATTTTCCTTTTACAGCACGGGTTCACCCTATAAAAAACCTCTCTTACAATTTGAAAATATCAATATTTTCAAAAACACCAATATATTTTTGGAATCAATAACACTGATATCATCAAAACACTGATCGTACTTCCAAATACAGTCGAGGTTTGTTTGCTTCATTCGGAAATCCGGAGCTGAATCAGAAGCTTCAGCCAAAACATAGATAATCTGGAAACAACTGCTGTAAATCGACAAACATGCTACTTCCATGAGGAAGTCACACAGTTCATCTTTCCCATAGCAGATGCATTAGAGTAGATCCAGGGGGTTTGGCTTCTTGGCAGGGTTTAATGGCTACACACCAATATGGCATCGGCTTCGATCCACCCAATAAAATAACAAAAAAGAAGATAAAAGACAATATAAACTATGGAACACTGAAGAAGAACAAAGAACTAATGAATCAAAGAGAGAGAAGAAAAAAGATTTGCGGTACGTAGAAAATCATTGTTGCAGCATCAAGTAGAAATATTACATGTGTTATCTGCCCAATCGTTCTCCATTCTACATCATGGGAAGAAGATAAAAAATCATGAAGAGGTGTACATGCAGGCATCTCTGATCATTGATGCCGTTGCTAAGAATTTCTTACTTCCACATCGCCTGCCATGTAAAACCGGAAAGCAGGGCATGCTCACTATGCTCTTCTGGGTAGCTTAGGAACCTTGGAATTGGATGTTGAGGAGCCACTTCCCATAAAACCACTTGTTTTCGTGGACCGCAAAAAACTATAGATAGGACAAGGAAAGGTTCACATGAGTATTGGTAATGTCCATAAATTTCAATGAATTGTTAGAACTTCATTGACCATCTTTTAAGGACACAAGGAAAATAACAAACAAGAAAATGATAATTTGAATATCAGAAGGAAAGAAAGTAGAAAGTTATTTCTTCGAAAATATTCTCATGAGAAACCCACAACATGTTCTTTTCAAGGAATTGTTTCCATAGAAAGCAAGCAAATACAAGAGCAGATGAGGAATAAAGGATTCAACTTCTTCAAAAGTCATCATACCATTCACCTCTATGATCCTACATCCTTTGTAAACCGAGGAGGGCACACTGCCCTCGCTTCTCAAAAATGCTCTATATATACTCTAGGAAACCCTAATTGACCACAATACCTCCCATAAAGATGATCTTCTCGGCATCAAATCATTGAAAATGTATTTGAAGCCCATCCTCTAATCCTAAAAGAATACACTTACTATGTTCCAAGCACACCACCTTGCAAATGACAACTCGTGATCCTAAAGACCTATCTCACTTCCTACCTACATCAATTCCTGCCCTCTCAACAAGATCCATTCCACCCTTCAATTTTATACTATCTGAGCCCTCACTTCTTCCTCTTACCTCTTAACACTTCCAATAGAGAGAAGTAAGCCTCATGAAATATTTGCATATCAAGAGTTCCATACCACTAACTTCCTTTCATATCACACCGCCTCTTAATGCACTGAATAAATCTAGATCCATCTTCTTCTCCTCACAAAAGGAACTCTTGTTTGAGTATTCCAAAATCATTCACTATTAACTTTGGCCATTACATTGGAAGTTGGCTCGAACCAGTATTTTTCATCACCAATATCTTTTGGCCAAGTTTGCAAGAATAAACACGACTTTTATAGCGTTGTACAAGACAACTGCATGACTTCCACTAAAAAAAGGGAAGCTACTGTGGTTTATTTATAGAACCAAGTTCAACATTGAAAACTATAAACTCTCACATAAACATGTCTCTCACAACCGCTCTAAAACCAAAGAGGACCTTTCATCACAATAGATGAGGTGGTTTGCAATGCTCCAAAATCTTTCTTCACAATACATATAAAACGAAATCAGTTAGTCATTCAAATAGGAAATAGAATGACTTTTCAATTAATGGGGTCAATTTTCTGTTTTTGGCAAAAATGTTATTGAAATTCATTCTACAGAGCCAGTTTTTATAATAGAGAGATAAGATAAAGAGAAGCAAGGAATACCATTATGTGGACTCTTGCGTGTGTTCATACATTTAGTGATGAATGTTAACACATGAGAAGAAAGATTACCTTGATGTAGAACTCCTCTGCGTTGCTTGTCTCCTCATAACTGTATGCATTTTAACTTCATGGCTAACAACAAAGATAACACAAAGTATTAGTCGAGTGACAGTTTAATAATCCTCCCAGGCAAGCAACGTCCATAAAATCAATGAAGTTCGACCCCGGAAGTACATCCTGCTGTAGGGTGAATAGCTCACAATCACATGGCCGCGACAAAGATGGGAATTCAACAAGCATTCAAGCCTACTAATTACCTATTAAGATACTCCATCCTTGCTTTCTTCATCAGGTTGCCCTTTACATTGGATAAGCTATTGCATGAACCACTTCCTGAAAAAGGTATTAAACAGTTAACTAGAGATCCTTGTTATAAAAAATTTGAGAGGCGTACGAATAAACTTATTTATTAATATGTATGTATGTGTTCATAAATGTTTATACTCCAAATGTTTGAATTCATAAAAATAAATTTCTGGCATCAATAGAACACATAATTTCCATGCACCGATCTAATGTTCCAACATCGCTTACTCCAAGGTTACAACAGTAAGATCATCTCATAGCCTGTTTTCCTTTTGTTTATTTCTTGTTTGGACAAGCTACAATCATTTCATAACTTCCCATTTCACGAAATATCTTAAGAAAAATCCCACCTACTTTTACCAAAATGTCTAGAATACCCCAGAGGTCTCAATAAGCATACCTAAGAAAGACGGAAGCACTGGTTCTCTTTCTTGCATATAAGGATCTCTTCGACTGTAGTTTCAATTTCATTTTATATTTCCTCTTTAATACTAAATAATGTTCATTTGTACTTTTATTTCAATGTTCATTTCTACTTTTAGTTCTTCTGGTCAATGGTTTACATCAAATTTTTAAGCCTTTCTCCCAGTCAAACATACAGGTTCTTGATCTAGTAAAAAGAAGATTAAGAAATCTTTTAATATGCATAGTTTCTTGTGCTTGCAATGACGAAATGAATGAGGGAAAGGGAGAGGGAGATAGTTGAACCTCCACAAAAGCTCCGTTTTTTGCTTGCAGGAGGAACCTTGGAACATAGTTGAATCTGACGGCTTTGTTTTCCTGAAGTATAGACCATTATATTATAAATTATTTAATGAGCAATAGCAAGATGGGAAAATCTGGTTCCAGATTTAAGCATCATATTTTGACATCAAGGAAATAAGAAATATGAGAACCTACTATTACTCTCTTCCGCATAAAGTTGTTTCATTCTATCCACTGATTTCTTCTGAGCTTCATCTCTCTCCTTCAGTTTTGCCTGAGAATTTATCATTAACATATATTCAAATCTCTTTATGTACCAAAGCATGAGAAATGACTCATCTAACCTGCCATTAAAAAAAGCATCAAAAATGAAAGAATAAGCAAAGTTCAAACGGACAAAAAAATTATTTGTAGGTGCCAATAAACTTGCCTGATAGAGCAATTTCCACTTAAAATATCTTCCTTTTTGCTTCATCCTTTTGATGACTATATTGGCACTCTCTGTGCCAAAGTGCTGCTCGTAAAACGTTTTCCACAAACTGTCGGTTACTGGGCTCAAATCTCTCCCCTGAAACAATTTTGTTTGAATGATTGAAGCTATTGTTGCCACTTATCCTGTAAGTAAAACTTCATGTATAGATGGTTCTGGTGACATGTATCAAGCATAATTTTTCATCTCTCCAATAGTTTAGAAAGTTGACAACATTGTATGCCTACTCGGAACATGTATTAAAACACATTCCAAGCAAACAAAACAAATGTTATCTAGTTTTACCCTCTGAACAACACTTACAAACAAGACAGTCAATGAACCAAACTAGCTCTTAACAGAAAAGCAGGCATAGTAGTGGGCACAGCAAAAATATAATGTTGGGAACAGGAAAAGCCATCAACTTCAAATACTTTCCCCTCTTCAATTCTTGTAGACTTGCTTACCAAGCAAAAAGAATAAGAAACGAACAATCTTGAATTCCATAGGGACAATAATGAAAATGTAGTATAAATGAACTGAGCGATATGATTACAAAAGAGATCTACTGGCTTACTTCTGAGCATTTCTCAATGTGCATCAGTTGGTCAGCTGTACAATGGGTCAAAATAAGCTTCAAGATGTTCAAATCTGTTTCCCCAACATCCCCCAAATACTTGATGTTGTCTATAGCATTCTGGATACATAGGTCAAGCAAAGAGGGAACCTTCACCATATTTCTTCAGGGGAAGGGGTCTGAACTAGCCCAGCATGCAAGGGACTAGTACAAGGAGGGCACAAAACCTATTTCTCTATTAGAGATGGGCCCTCTGCATAATGCTACATCAAAGAGAGCAGCTTTATAAGTAATGAGTCCTTTTAGACAACCATACAAACTAAGAGCATCAAACTAATACAAGTGAAATTCAGAAGTCCAAAGATATTCCAGGCTGACTTAACTAACGACAAAAATATTCTATTGATAAGCTAAGCCATCCTATAAATGCTATACTAATTCCAGTATCATCTACTAGCTTACTCCCTTCCCAGGTGCTCAAAGCAAGTGTTGGGAGTTCCTAGGTGGTAAAAGTTATAGGACAGTGTAAAAAAAGGAAAATAAAAGATTATTTGCGATGGATTCAGTGTGTTAATACATATAAAATCTCACATATATAACCTTAGAACTACTACATGCATACATATATGCATGAGAAATATACTGAGTGATGTAAAGTTAGTGACGTACTTAACTCCCACATCTTAGCATATAGAATTACTAGATGGCCTTATGTGATGACATTTATGAGATCTATTAATCTAGCAGATCCTATCAAGATGGAGACCAGAACTTGTCATAGAGCAATTGGACATTTTGTGCTTCAGGTACTTCGGTTGTGGAAGGGGATTCGTAGGACGTTCTCCATTGCTTTGACATGGGTACATAGGACATTCTCCATTCGTTGGGAATTGAAGTGCCCAATAATAAAACTAAGGAGTTAGTCATTTCTTTGGAGATTCACATTCCCTATGAAGGTAATGTTGTAGATGAGGATTCTTTAGCTGGCATAGGGTTCTCAAAAGAAAGAATAAGAGTGTGGTTCTCCCCCTCCTTGTTGTTACTTCGTGAATATATATTTTTGACTGCTTTATCACTCAAGGAAAAAGGGAAACTAGCAAAAAGGTTTTCTGTTCAGAATTCTTATAATCAATACCCAAATGATTAGGTGATTTTATGTCAAGTAGTGAGTGTGATTCATTATATTGTTCCAATTAAGCCACCATTAATCAATTGTTTGATAGACTAGTTCAGTGACTCAACAATAACAATTTCCGAAATCCGCATTAAGTGTAAGCATAAACTAGTTCCTATTTGCAACCCTGAAACTCCACTCCTCCTATTTAGCTGAAAGGTATTGAAAATCCATGAAACCGATTCGCATGCAGAACAACAGAATTGTTTTCTAAGATTTCATGAATAACTTGCTATCATAAAAATTAATGACTACTTGAGACAATCAAACGTAGAGAACACTAGCAAAGCAGTCGTGCCAAAATAGTTAGAGTGCAACAAATAGATTACTGATTTATAAGCAACGAATCAACTCATTGATTAACTTCTAAAGGACACAAAGATTACCATGAATCATTAAAAAAGTCTATCACACCATAAAACCTCCAAACTTCCAGTATTTGTCATAATATTTGCAGGGGACTTCAGTATTCTAGGAATGCATTGGAAAAAATAACATCAGCAAATAAACACAAAAAAATGGCGATTGCCCAGATCAAAAAACTTAGTCCAGGTTCTCAAGAATTCCCAATATTCATCAGAATTATACAATATAATTCAGATTTACATCAACAAAGGGTAAACGAATAAAAAACCAGACACAATCCAAAGGTTGGGTAAAATTTCCTAATTTAGAAATAAAAATTACAGACAAAAACATTGATCAACGATCAGATATTTTATCCTCAATTTCACATAGAAATAAATTAAATATTACAAGAAAAAGAAAAACTCAAATAGAAAAGAAAAATTATAATTTTAATAACCATGGAAGCTTACCAGAGAATTTCAGAACCAGCAGAGAATTGAGAAATAATCAATTTCAGTAAAAAAAAAAAAAGGAATAATGACCCGGAAACCCTAATCTAGACAGGAATCCAAATCAACCTAGACTTGAAGCCAAGGAAGCACAAAATTGAAAACGCTAAGATTGATGGAGAAGACGAAGCTTACCTCAAGGAGCACAGCAGGAAACCATGAGCACGGTTTGTCTCATTATGCCCCGTAATTAAAGTATTTCTTAATGGTAAATGACCAAAAGAATGGGAAAGGGAATCTGTAAACTGTGGTCCAATGTCATGAAACAATGTACAGTATGGTGCAATCAATAATATAGCGTCAAATAAAATAGGAGGCCGTCAAAATATACAATGCAACTTAATTAGAAAAAATTTCCAAAAGACTTGAAAAGTAGATCAAATATGAAACGTAATTAGAAAAAATTTAAGATAATAGGTATTGTTTTATAGAATAGATAGATAATTTTCACAGAAATTTTATGCTAGCTATTCCACAAGGAAATAATATACCGTTCAAGAAAAAGTCCAAAAAAATAAAAAATGCATAAAATGTGAAACTTAAATAGAAAAACTTTAGAAAACAGAAAACTTAAATAAACGTTTCAAAAAAAGTATCAAAATACATCAGGTGAAACTTATATAGAAAATTGATGCAATTAGTTTTTTTTTGTTATAAATCAATAGGAAAATATTTTTTTATTTTTTAGGATTTAAAAATAATCCTTTATATTTTATATTTTACAATTAAATCCCACTTTTCTATAGTTATTTTACTTTCTACACACTGAAGTAAACCAACATTGGGAAGTCAGTACTTCTCACAATACACACATATAAAAATAATTAACACTATGAAAATTTAAATAAAATAACTAAAATCTAAAGGGTATTTTGTTTATTTTCTTTATTTTATAAGTAATTTTTTGGTGTTTGTTTTACAATTGTAATGTACACTCCCCTAAATTTGATCTTAATCTTATATATACAAAAGTAAATTGAATTAAAATACAATATTTATTAAGATTTCGAACTTAAATTTAAAACATAAAATACATGAAACTATTTAAATTCTTTCAAAATTTTGAATTATCTTCCTATAAATAAAAGATAATGCATATAATAAAGACAAATTACTTTTTTATCACAATAAGATAAAAGTAATAAAGACGATAAGATAAAAGTAGTAGAGATAATTTACTCTTCATTAAAACAATAAGATAAAAGGATAATGCTAAAAAGATAAAAGGATAATAATATGATAAAAGGATAATCTTTAAAGGAAAATTGTTGCGAGCTCGATTGCATGACTACATATGCAGTCCAAAAAGTGTATAGTATCCAAGATGGATGCAAGTAGGTGTTCCATCTAAAAACAATGGAAACTAACTATCTATAATTATTATTTCTAGTTTTTAAAATTTATTTATTCTTTCATATTCATGATCTCTATGTTAGAGATTACATATCATTAAAAATTAAATCCAAAAATCCATCTCAAAAATATATTTATTAAGAGGCCCACATTTCTACATATGCGGGTCGTCTTTAAAAGGATAATGCTAAAAAGATAAAGGAAAAAGTTTATATAAGGTTACAACCTTAAATGTAGAAATAAACATGCACATCAAAATTCTATAAAAAAAGGTTGTTTTAATGTTGAAAAATCCTGTAATTGATCATCTTGATATTGAGATGTATGAACATGGAAAAAAAATGATTTTGAACCCCATAAATAGTACATCTTGCAACCAATTATCTAGGCCATCCATTTTTAAGATTTTCATATGTTTATAGATTTATTTGATTTTAACTATTTTTGGAGTTTAAAATTTTATAATTAGATATGAAAATAGATTTTGAGATAATCTTAGGAATTATTTATACTAAATTACATATTATAATAAAATCGGGAGGTGCACCTTAATTGGATTGTTTAAGGTTGCAACCTTATAGAAACCGCACCCAAATATAAAAAGATAATCTTGGAAAAAGAAAAAAAGATTTCGAGGCCGCGAAATAGTGTATCTTGCAACATATTATCTAGACTGTCTATTTTCAATATTTTCATGTGTGTGTAGATCTACTTGATTTCAACCATTTTTAGAGTTTGAAATTTTATAATTAAAGATGAAAATAGATTCTGAAGCCATCCTAAGAATCTTTATATCAAATTTATATTTATACTAAAATTTAGAGGTGCTTCATTGGATTGTTTAAGGTTGCAACCTTATGGAAACCACACCCATCTTTGAAAAGAGAGTTTTTTATATCAAAATTACATTTATACTAAAATTTAGAGGTGCACCTTAATTGGATTGTTTAAAAAAATTACATTTATACTAAAAAGATATTTTTTTATATCAAAATTACATTTATACTAAATTTAGAGGTGCGCCTTAATTGAATTGTTTAAAAAAATTACATTTATACTAAAATTTAGAGGTGCGACTTTAATTGGATTGATTAAGGTTGCAACATCTTTAAAGGATGAAGTATCTACGGGGCTTAGATAGGCGTTTTCAAAATAAATAAAGCCTCACCTCAAATCCACATCTGGAAAGCACTTTCCACATTGGAAATCTTTACGATGGCTCTAAAATTAATTTCCAACACTGACAACAAATTTTGAAACTCAAAAAATGGTATAAATCTTACGGATTTGTGACCACTTAGTTTTAGGGAAAAATGAATAGTCTAGATGATTTGTTGCAATATACACTATTTTAAAATTTAAAATCGTAATTTTTTTTTTACGACTATAATGTTTAAGCTGAGATGACCTATTTAAAGGTTTTTCAACACTTAAATTGTAATTTTTGATGAGTTATAAAGTGAGGTTTTACTTATATTGATAGGGCTGCAACCCTGTTTCCCGGATAATTTCGTTTAAAGTTGCAACGTTATGGAAACCACACCCTTTAGAAGGTTGCAACTTTAAAAGGATAATGCTTTATACTATAAGGGGAATTTTTTATATCAAAATTACATTTATACTAAAATAAAATTACATTTACATCTATCTTTAAAATGATTAATGCTATAATAAAATAAAATACATTTACGCCCATCTTTAAAAGGATTAATGCTCTAATGAAATAAAACTACATTGACACCCATCGTTAAAAGGGTTAATTCTAAAAATAGGTCCGCTGCCGGGATATTACATTTACACCCATCTTTAAAAGAATACTATATTTACACCCATCTTTCAAAGCATATTGTATTTACACCCATCTTTAAAAGGAAAGTTTTTTTGGATAGAAATTCCACAACTTTATTAAACTAAAATGTAATTATAGAGTCCGAAATAGAAACAAAAGGAAGGGAGGAACCTACTTTGGCAAGAGAGTGATGCAAATAATATTAAGGTTATTTTAATTTTTTATTATTATTTAGTTTATCTCTTAAGGAATAGGAGAGGAGGTGCGCACGTATATTTGTGGGCATTGAATTTGTGTGTGAGTTGATATTTATGGATTTGGGTTAATTAGTTATTGATTGATTTGGGTTACTTAGTTTGAAATATAAATAGATAAGGTTAAATTAAGGGAGCTAGTTTAAGAATGTAAAAGGATAAGGTTAAATAAAAAGTAGTTTTTAGGCTTTGGATTAAAGGGGATGGTACGTGAGGTTAAGGGAAAAGAGAGAAAATAGAGAAGAAGAGATAAAATAGGAAAAGTGTAGAGAAAGTTTTTCTTGTTAATGTTTATCTTATTTTTTAGTCTATTTAAAGGGAGATTTCCCTTTAGTGTGAAAAAAAAAAGAAGGTAGATGAGTTAATAAAATTTTGTTTCGTAAAGAAATTTTTGGGGTGGATTCCTTCGCCTTTGAGAGATGGTATATTATCTCAACTTTAGGATGAATTCTCTTTCAAACCTTTTTTTTTCTGGTTTTATTTATTTTTATTTTTTTTGGTTTTATTTTTTTACATCAATTGGGTAGGGGAATGATTTATTAAAGAAGAGAAAAAATGAGACATGGCACAATTCCCTCGCAGACTTTGCGATAGGGTATATTCTCTCAACTTTTTATTTTCATTTTTTTTTGGTTTTATTTTTTTACATCAATTGGGTAGGGGGAATGATTTATTAAGGAAGAGAAAAAATGAGACATGACACAAAAATAGAGGGGGTATCCATCTCGCATAGACGGGGTATCCATCTCGCTTAATATATAATAGATAGATATTTCTTTTCACATCTTTAAAAGAAATATCCCTCTTGCTTAATATGTAATAGATAGATATTACATTTACACCCATATTTAAAAGCATTAATGACACCCGTCTCCCATCTTTAAAAGGATTAATAATAAAAAATTTCCCATCTTTAAAAGGATTAATGAAAAAGGATAGGATTTATCTTTAAAAGGATTAATGATAAAAAATAATAATAAATAGATATTACATTTAAACCTAGCTCCAATCTTTAAAATGATTTATGTTTAAAACAATTAATAATAAAAAATCTCCCATCTTTAAAAGGATTAATGAAAAACGATAGGATTTGTCTTTAAAATGATTAATAAAAAAGGACAAGATTTATCTTTAAGGAAAAATATCTTCATAGACCTTATTTTCAACTTTTATTTCATTCTAAACTCAAAATTTCAAAACATATCTCTTAACCCCCAGATAACTTTATCTATTTTTGTTCCAACTTTTAACCCAAAAAATTAAAAAATACATCTTTTTTCTAACTCTCTTTCTCGTCGTGTGTTTCAATCTCTCTTCTCACGTGTTTCTCTCTCTAGACTGTTCTTCCTCTTTCTTTCTGCAACCCATTTCTTTCCAACTCAACAATGGCTTTCCAACAATAGTGGAAGCCGGGTTATGGTGGGTATGGTGGTTATGGTGGGGGTGGTGGGGTGTATGGTGGGCCAGCAAACTATGGTGTTGTTGGTGGTAGTCGGGGTGGTGTATCGAGTGGGACTGGTGTTTCGGGAGGAAGTGCAGGTGGTGTAGCTAGTGGTGAGCAAGGTGGTGGAGGTTATATGGTAAGTGGATATGGTGTTTGAATGGGAATGCGGGGTTTTGGAAGTCCGATGCTTCTTCTCAAGGTGGTGCTCAAGGCTCTGGGGTCCCTCAAGCCAATGGGCCTCCCATTTCTCGAGTTGGGTATGGTGGTTATGGTGCACAAACAATGCAGGCTCAGGAACATTAAGGGGAGGAGGTTCAACACGTTCTCCTCAAGCTCTTCATAGTTCACAAAGTCATCTTTTGGCTTTACATCAATGAGAAGAAACAAAAAAACCAGCCTCCTCGTCACGTCATAAATATCGCCGCAATTTACCCCAAATTCCCTGGAATTTCCCCCTACTTCCCTAGATTTTTCCCCTTAAAAGCCTGAATGGCCAGAATTTTGGCTGGGAATTGCCGAAAAAATGAGCATTCCAGCCAAAGCCTTCCTCCCATTCTAAGTTGAAGAAAGTGGGGTGGGGTTCCTATGGTCACCGGGAAATGAGCCGACGGTGGCTGGAAGTAGCCAGAGGTTTGCCGGAAAACGCAGTAAATTTTGGGTGGGGGGGGGGGGGAGGGGGCAAGGGTTGAGAGAGAGAGGGGTTTGGGAGGTTGATAGGGGGGGAGAGAGAAAGGGAATCGTATCAAGAGAGGAGGGGTTTAGAAAACAATATCTTTTATAAATTTGTTTAGGCCAAAAAAATTAATAAAAAATGAACAATATATGTTTAGGGGGTTAGGAGATACAATAAAGTGAATTTCTATATAGTAAGATAGCCTTAATATATGTTTAGGGGGTTAGGAGATACAATAAAGTGAATTTCTATATAGTAAGATAGCCTTTGCAGCCTTAGATCGATGGAGGAAAACAATGTATTTTTTACATTTGTTTGGGCTACAAAAATTAGTAAAAATTGAATAAAATATGCTTAGGGATTTAGGAGATATATGTAGTAAGAAATGTTTTGCAGCCTTAGGTCAATGGAGAAATGAAACTTGAAATGGGATCTACGGAGATATGTTTTCTATCTTTAAAAAGATTAATGAAAAAGGATCGGATTTATCTTTAATCCTCCCTATTTTAAAAAGATTAATGTAAAAGTATAGGATTTATCTTTAAAAGGATTAATGATAAAAAAATTTGAAAAAGGATAGGATTTATCTTTAATCCTCCCTATCTTTGAAAAAATTAATGAAAAATGATAGGATTTATCTTTAAAAGGATTAATGATAAAAAAATTCCTTTGTCGGGATCTGAATAAATTCTCCCTGTCTTTAAAAGGATTAATGTAAAAGGATAGGATTTATCTTTAAAAGGATTAATGATAAAAGAAATTGAAAAAAGATAGGATTTATCTTTAATCCTCCCTATCTTTAAAAAAATTAATGAAAAAAGATAGGATTTATTATTGATAAAAAGGATTATTGAAAAATGATAGGATTTATCTTTAAAAGGATTAGATTTATCTTTAAAAGGATTATTGATGAAATGATAGGATTTATCTTTAAAAGGATAAACAATGTATTTTCTAAATTTGTTTGGGCCAAAAAAATTAATAAAACATGAATAAAATATGTTTAGGGGATTACGAGATATAATAAAGTGAATTTTTATGTAGTAAGATAGGTTTCACAACTTTGGGTCAATGGAGAAATGAAAGTTGAAAATGGATCTATGGAGATATTTTTTCTATCTTTAAAAAGATTAATTAAAAGGATAGGATTTATCTTTAATCCTCCCTATCTTTAAAATGATTAATGTAAAAGGATAGGATTTATCTTTAAAAGGATTAATGATAAAAAAATTCCATTGCCGGGATCTGAACAATGTAAGAAAATAGGATTTATTATTGATAAAAATGATTATTGAAAAAGGATAGGATTTATCTTTAAAAGGATTATTGATAAAAGGGTAGGATTTATCTTTTAAAGGATTATTGATAAAAGGATAGGATTTATCTTTTAAAGGATTATTGATAAAAAATTCCATTGCCGGGATTTGAACCCGGGTCGCCTGGGTGAAAGCCAGGTATCCTAACCGGACTAGACGACAATGGAACTGATGAACACGTTTAAACCAAAATTTTATTTATACTGAAAAATAAAAAGTTAAAACCGTTTCTGTTTTTCCCTTGCAGTGAGTTAGGGTTTTATTGAACAGAGAAGAAGTGTGCAGTTTCATGCATTAGTGTGTTTGACAAGAAGACCTAGTTCACAATTCTCTTGTATTTTAGCTCATTTTAAACATGGCAAGCGAACTGGATGAACTTATAGGGTTTCTGACCTCGCCTTCTCCGCAAGTAAGATTATGAGTATCTATTAATTGATCAGTTTGTATCTCAGTTTTTTAAAATTCATTGCTTTCTATTGGATTTTCACTCTGTGAAAAGTGTTTTGAAGAATTGGCAGAATTTGAAATTCAGTTTGAGTTTGGAGGGATGAATTTTCTCTTCTTTTTTTTTGGGGTAATTTTTCGGAGTGTAATGGGAGACTGTAAGTGTTTATGATCATTAGATCTTATTTTTGTAATTTTGGATAGTTATAGATACCAACATGCCTGAACTCTGACGTTTTCTCGTTTGAAGTACAAAAGGAACAATTTTTTATATCAATTTCATTCTTGTACTCTATGGAAAATTGAGTAGATTTTATAGAGCGAATTTTCTTATTTCCAAATAATTCGAACAATTTCCATTGTTTTAAATTGACGAGGAAAAATATATGCAGAAAGTGGCAAAAAGTTCGATAAATTGGCAACCATTATGTGTAAATTTCCTTAATCGAATGCCATTTGTTTGTATATCATCACCTACTCCTTTCACATATATTGAAAGTAATGCTTAATTCTTAAAAGAAACAACAATCAAATTCAAAGCCATGCAGGTGAAGAAAGCAGCTATAGACATTGTTCGAGGACTGACTGGTTCTGAAGATGGATTATCCACTCTATCTCACCACTCTGATACACTCTTGGGCTCGCTTTCAAAGCTATTAGGAGAGAAAAAGGTACGGTATTTGCTTTAACCTGTGCAAAAAGAAATCATGGTGTTTACTTGTTTTTTTATTGGTGTTTTGTTATCATGTTACCGGATTGGATAATGTGGTAGTGAAATTCAGTTACCAAGTTCTTATTCGTATTTTGACATCCAAATCTGGGTGAAGCTTAAAAGGTTGTAGGTTTTCTCTTTTCAACCCCTTCATCACTTCTGTCTCCCTCTTGATTACTTTTTGAAGAATAATTATGATTTGATGTTCATCAATGATTTATTTTTGTAGCATTATATTGATGAGTTGTTTCTGGGTGAATCTCAAGTTGGCATTTTCTCTTTCGCTCTCTTTTTTCTTTCTTTTGATTGGTAATTGGTTTTTTCTCTTTCAAAGCAGGAGATTTCCGAACCTGCAGCAGAAGCTCTTGTAAACCTGTCTCAGAATTCTGAGTTAGCTGAAAAAATGGTTTCAATTGGCATGGTAAATAAGGCAATGGAGATACTTTCTAAACACGACCTTGGCATCACTAGGTTGTCGGTTATGCTCCTTGTGAACCTTACACAATTGGCTACGGGTATTATCTCACTTCTTCAGGTGATGCCCTTTTCCTTGAACTTGTCTTATGTTAACACATCTGTTGGTTAACTCTTCGTGTATATGTTACACTATAAGTGCACCTTCGTCTCTCATGCAAATGCATATTAGACACCTGCTTTGTTGTGTTTTTCCTTCATGTGGCTATCCCCAGTTTTGTATAGTGGAGTTGAACTAATTAGCATCTACACAATGTTTTTATACTATTAGTAAAAGTAAAATGGGCATCAAGATATTTGCTATCTGTGATGGCCCAGCCTTTTGGTTCCCTGCACATTGTTTTGATAGTTTAACAATTATGTCCATTAGTCCACTTTACTAGTGCTATTTGATCTGTCCTAGCTTTATTTTATGTTTTGCATTATGAGTTTAAATTAAGAATACGATTGCAACTCACTTATTAGGGCTTGTTCTATGCAAATATTTTATTTAGGCATGTTCCAAGGCATTAGTCTCAATTGCTTGTTCTTTTGGTAAATGTGTAAATGTTGAATCTTATCCTGTTTTGGAGTAACAGATATATTGCAATTTGCAAAAGATCTATTTTATATATTGCACTATCTATACCTATTTTTAGGTCTTGTTTCACCATGTCTCTGCTCTGAGTATGTCTATGGCAGTGGTATTACAAGTTACATTACAACTACATAATCATGTTCTTCTGCTTTTTATTTCCACCTATTAATGCTGAACCTGTTTTGCTCAATAACTTTTTTCTGATTTTACCTTTGTGCAGACTGGAGATGAAAAAGTAAAAGGTCTTAATGTTGTGAAACTTGTGAGATTCTTTTGTAGATCTTCAAGTGAAACAAAAGGTTTGTCTACTCTTTTCTAGAAGTTGGAATTTGTTTATTAGAATATGTTTTCCTAGCATTGTAAAAAGTGATGCAAGGCATTATTCTGTTAAACTCGTGACATTTCAAGATACATTCTGATTTCTAGCCTCTTACTCGTGCCTTGGGACTTTTTGGTCCATGCTGCTATTCCATGCTTTAACTTATATGACAAGGAAGTAGACCACCTTTTCTTGCACAAAGGGGCATGTAGAGTGCAATGATGGAGCTCAGAAGAAGGGTGTATTGACAAAAGTTTTGACGAATGCACTGAATCTGTTTTGACACTATTCTTTTGTATAATGAAAAAATTTAGAGAGAAACTGGTATTTTAGGGTGGGTTTTAAGAAAGGCTAGAGATAGACCTGAATTGATGGCGTAGGAGCTGTTCTAGGTTCTTAGACGAGGGGAAATATAAAAGATGAAAACAATGAATACTCGATAAATTTGAAATTCGAGTGTGAGTGGCTGTAATGACTAATCATATTCAGGAATCATTCACATCCTTTGTTACAAACATGTGACATAAATGATGCTTAGGAAAACTTGGTCATGTTTCTCCCTTGACTCCAGTAAACATGTTGGCTGGAATGAATTCATTATAAAGTAAACTAAATATCAATGCCTCATGGCAGAATTTGGAAACCATGGGTGACATGTCAATATCATGACCTAGACACGGCTATGTGGTACTGAAATATTACTGATTATCAAAGTACTTGTTATTTTACTTCATATTGAGTGCTTCAATTTGTCCAAATGGTGTTGAACAAACTTCTTAAGCTTTGATCTTTCCAATTTTGACAGGATTGTTTTGTTGGATGCATGACAGATGATCCGTTTGAACATGTTGGTTCAATACTCGTAAACATTTCTAGAAATGAAGCAGGAAGGAAACTTCTATTGGATACCGAGCGTGGGCTTCTAAAACAAATTCTTCCACTTTTTGGTACAATTAGTCCATTGCGCAAGAGGGGGGTAAGGTTGATGGTCTATGAGGGTTTAATCATGTTTATTTATTTTTATGAAGAAATATATTGTTAATCTGCGCAACTTTTGATATTTGCATGATGGTTGCAAAGAAATAATGCATCTGTTTTATGGTTTAATGATCCAATAATTATATTATATATATAAAAAAAGAGGACCAATAATTGTTTTGTGTCTCTCTCTGCGTGCATGTATATGTAAATGTACATGTATTAAATGATCAATGATGCATGATTAGCAGATTTGTTTGGTTGCTAGTCCTACTTCAAAATAAGAGAAAGGCCTGTAGAAACTGACAAAACAAATGAAATCCATGAGCATTGCCAATGCACATGGGGAAATGGCTATAAAGAATAGAATTAATGAGACCCAATCAAACATTACTATAAATAAAATAAAAATGTATTTACTTATTCTTGGAAGAAACAAGTTTGTTCACGACTCTGATTCTGCAGGTTCTCAATTTTCTTAAGGTATGTGTTGCTATAGTCCTCCACATAATTGTCTCTGATGTTGGGCTTAAGTTTGACGGTTTAGAGCATTCAGACTTTAAGAATTCGCCTGGCCTCTTCGCCAAAATAAATAAATAAACAGTTTGGTTTCAATGTCAATAATCGAATGGTGTGTCTTGCAAGAATTTGGGAAGTTTGAACTCTGATGATAAACAACTGATATGAATTCTGTACGATTTTATCTGTCTTGAACGATTAGTCTTCAGGGTTACCCATGATAAGATTTTAATATGAGGATGCTATCTTGTGCTGTGTTGTTTACTGTATGCTGTAGCCTCTTAGGGGCATTTGAACTAAAGAAAAAGATGTATGGGCCTTGCAAAATTGTCAGGGATAAGATTCTACTTTAATACCCATCTCTAACTAAAGTTCATTTTTACAATTTTGATTTTTCTTCCTGACAGGTCTCTGGAACGCTTCGAAATTGCTGCTTTGAAGCTGAGAATCAGCTAAATAACCTGCTTTTGTTATCTGAGTTCCTTTGGCCAGCTCTACTACTACCTGTTGCTGGAAATAAGGTAATATGTTTCAGAGTTTATTACTAACTTCACAATCCAAACTGCATTAACTGTTTTTTCAACTCATATATCCATTCCATAAAAACTTTTGGCATTTTCTGTTTGGATCTTTAGTGGCTGAAATGTTTCAATATTTTTTCTAGAATTTAAAATTGTTGTTACCCTATTTTCCCTTTTTTTCCTTCTTATGTTCAAATTTGGTGAGGATTCAAACTTCAAGGTTTATTCTTGTTTCTAATAAAATTAGTTCAGGTTTATAGTGCAGAGGATACCTCAAAGATGCCACTTGAGCTTTCAAGTGTTCTTTCACATGAACGTGAAGCAATTGATGATCCAGATATTAAGATCCAAGCTGCAGAATCGATTTACCTGATTGCTTTGCAGGTTAGCACTCTGGTATTTTTATCCTTCTTTCACATATGCAGACCTGAATATCGCTGCTGTGGTATTTTAATCTAATCTGTTTTTTGTGATTGATCTGTTTTATACACACTGCATTTTGAGGTGAAATATGCTCATGACTCTGATTATCTACAGTAGGCTTCCCTTGAAAAAACTGAGCAGTGATTAGTAAAACATTTGAATGCACTGTGTCCTCATGTGTCTTATATTTTTCTTTGAGCTGGCTTGTAATGGATGGCCGCATCAGAAACGGATTACACTACTGAAGGCTAATTCATAGTAGTTTTTTTTCTTTTTTGAAGTAACATGGAGAACTTGATTTCCAGTTGAACTTTGGTGGTGTTCAAAAGGCTTGCGTCTGTTGTGGAAAGGCAGGACCAAGCAGTTGTTTTTGTGTTAGGAAACTAAGCACAAGAAAATGATTCTCTCTCTTTCTCTAAGTCTCATCTATACATCCACCTAGCTGTATATTTATTTGTCACAAACCCAAATATGCATACAAGCAAATCTCTTCTCTCTCCATTAGGCGCAAATACATCTGTTTTGGGTGCTTCTTCATCTCACAGTCTATTTACAGATTATAACCGAGTAACATGCATTTGAGTTTGATGACTTCCAGGAGGCAGGTCGAAGAGCTCTCTGGTCTGTCAATGGTCCTCGGATACTGCAAGTAGGCTATGAAGACGAAGAAGATCCAAAAGTAATGGAAGCGTATGAACGCATTGGCGCCTTGGTAGTTCCTGGATTTTGCTTTCTAGCTTCCTTTCTCCCAAACTGTTGTTGCAGAATTGACTCTCTCTCTATCTCTCTCTCTCCATGCCGCAGCACCCCGGATGAATTGGTTTCTCGTTAGCTTACAATTTTTTTTATATTCTAACAGCTTGTCCATGGGGATGAGGCTGAGCAGCCGTCAGTTTAGAATTGGAGAATCGGTTGTGGAGCTAATATTTGATATGGAGTTACACAAGTTTGAATCTCTCTCTCTCTTTCTCACTAGCTGGGAGTGCTTACATCTAGTGGACTGTCCGCAAAAATGTATATGAACATTATTTTTCTCTTTATAAAATTTGATATTAGCTTTCTTGTTTCTCAATTATTTTTCTTACCTGAAACATGGTAATCTGCTTGTGTGATTTGTGAAGGATCCCCTTGGTCTTTTTTTCTTCTTTTGGGTTAGTTTGGTAGTGTGCTTATTTGATTTTTATTTTTGTGAGGGAAGCAGTGCTCATGGAATGTAAGATCCTATAACTAAGGGGTGCAGTTAGCATGAGGCCTATGCTTTACCATACTACAAAAGTCTGTCGGAAAATGTAGCTTTGATGTCATAAATCCCCAATATGACTAGAAAATTTATTTTGATTATGGCTTTTAAAGCTTCAAAAATTATGCAGATCAAATGGATCTATAAACACTTACAAATGAACACTTGCAAATGGACAATTCTATAAACACTTACAAATGAACACTTGCAAATGGACAATTCTATAAACACTTACAAATGAACACTTGCAAGTGGACAATTCTCATGGTGTTTCAAGATACACTATTTTCAAGCTTAAAATCCTTCTCTTTTCAAATGTACATAATCATTTTGAGGATTTTTTGACACCAGAAGTCTACTTCCGGTGGGGTCCATGAGGTGTAGCTTTACTTTTTATCATAAATACATCACTTGTAATTCAATTGAAGCTAACGTGATCATATTATCATAATTTAGCTGCTTGAAAATATTGCCGATTACATATCCCAAGATAATTTAAGCCACAAAATATTCTACTCTCGCAGGAGTAAAATGTACATTTACTCCTTCGGGTAAAACCCCAACTAAAATTAATTTTTGGATCCTAAATTTTGGAGTTGTGACATCTTCAACCCATAAATTAACCTCAATAAAAAAATTACCTAATTGTACTCTTTATGCCCTAGAAGAAAATAATGTGTCGAGATTGAAGAGAGACCATTCAATTTTTAGACGGTGAGATTTAAGTGTCAGAAAACTTTTTTTTTTTTAGAATAAGCATTGAGTATATCTTAAGTGGTTCTCAAATTTTTAGATTAAACCCAGGTGATTTAAGGAGTAGAAATTAACTATGCTCCCGAGGATATGTGCTCTAAGTTAAAAATGGCTATATTATTTACATTGACATAATACATAAATAAATGAATGGTTTTATTTGTATCTTGCCTTTGTACTGAAATACCTTAAAATTAACCCCATAAGTAGTTTGAGAATCCTCATTCACAATCAGTTTTTCTCTGTAAGACTAGATAAAAAATTTCTTCAGCTCAGTCTGCAATAATTGTTTTTCTCTCTATTATTACTCAGCACAACCTGGGCCTTCAAAGAGAAATTCTCTGTATCCTTCCAATTTTATCAATTGTCTATGAGGAGAAAATTCATTGGACAGAGAGAAATTATCTTTCTATTTCATCCTCTGATTATGTTTCAGACCAAGAAATTCTCTAAATCACCATTACCTCATCGAGAACCAGTCTTGTCCACAGCTAGAGAGAGCCTCCTGTTTCAGGACGGGAAATTTTCTCCCTAGCTTAAACGCATGATGCCCCATTTTCAATCAGAGTTCTCTGCTTTGGACTAAAGAAATTCTCTCTCTAGCATACCCTGTAATTCTTCAGCTGCTTCTCTCACCTTCCTCCTCTCCCAAAACCCACTCACAATTGTCTGCCAAACAGATTCATCTGGAGCAAAACCATCATCCACCATCTCTCTAACCAGTCGAGCTGCCTTATAAACATCTCCTTTCTTGCAAAAACCACCAATCATCACCCTGAAACTCTCTGAAACTACCTGAATTCCTCGAGTTCTCGTACCCATATAGACCTGAAAAGCTCGGTTTGTATCCATTGAAGAACAAAGGCCTCTTATCACCAAATTGTGCATGTTTTCATGGAGTTTTTGGGTCATTGAATTTGGCTTAACCCCACTCAACACCATCTCATCAAGAAAATTTGCACCCTCTTCAAACCTCTGAAACTGACAAAGCCCTGTAACAATCTTGCTATAGAGAGCTGCATCGGGTTTCCATCCATGGAGCTTCATCTGATCAAAGACACACAAAGCTTCATGGATCCTTCTCTCGGTGCAGAGGCCAGTGAGCAATGTACTGTAAGTTTTCATGTTGGGTTTCTCTCTCTTTCCTCCCTTTGCTTTCTCTCTCTTCCCATCCATTGTTTCAAGAACTTCCATGGCCTCTAGTGACCTTCCAGCTTTGCAGAGGCCATTGATCAGAGAGGTGTAAGTTATGACATTGGGCTCGATTCCATTAACCACCATTTCTTCGAGCAATTTCATGGCTGTCTCCAAATCTCCAACTTTGCAGAACCCATAAATCATTGTACTGTAAGTGATCACAGTAGGCGAACATTTCTTCGAAATCATCTCCTCCATTAAAGGTTTGGCCTCTGAAACTCTACCCAATTTGCAAAGCCCATCGATCAGTGTTCCATAAGTGTAAGAATCAGGAGTAAACCCAAATTCCAGTTCCATTTTCTTGAAAACTCTAAACGCCGAATCAATGGTTTTTTGTGATTTGCAGAGGGCCTTCAGCAATATATTGAGGGAAACCAGAGAGAGGGGGATACCCATTTCTTTCATTTGAAAGAAGAACTTGTGGGCGAGTTTTAATCGATTCTCTGATACAAGAATATCAAATAGAGAGAGAAAGGATTTTTGGGTTGGTTCACAGTTGAAGTCTTTCATGGAGTGAAAGGTTTTCAAGGCCTCTAATGGCTTGTGAGCTCGGCCATAGGCTTGACAAATGGAGAGGAAGGTGTCTTCTGGTATGGGGCAGTTCTCTTGTTTCATCCTTGTGAGGAGAGAGTAAGCAGAGGCGAATTGGTTTGCAGAGGCGAGGCGAGAGATGATGAGAGAGAAAGTATTGTGGTCGTGTCGGTAGCCATTGGAGTACTCAGCAGTGGCTGAGTCGAAGATTAGGAGGGCTTTTAGCGTGTCGCGTTCGGCTCTGATGAGTTGCAGTACATGGGTTGGGTTCAGATTCTTTGGCCATGGTGGAAGTGCTTTGGTGCCCATTACTGCCGCACTTTGTGGGTCACCTCTCTCTCTCTCTGCACCTTGTGGGTTGTCTCTCTCCTGTCTCTGCAATTTGTGGGCTCTCTCTATCTCTATCTCTCTCTCTAATTGATTGATATTTACGTGCCCTGTCTGCACTGTGTTGGTTGCCTCTCTCTCCTATCTCCGCACTTTGTGGCATGGGGGGCTCTTTCTCTCTCTGAACCTTGTGAGTTGCTTTCCTTTCTCCTATCTCTTACTGTAACAATGCTACTCCATGGAAGTATGCCCAGCAAATCGTTGCTCCCCTTTTATCTCTAGAACCAAAAGCTAGTAACAGGTAGTGTGCCTCTCAGTGTTCGATGAAATTTGAATGGGAGCTTTTATCACCACGTTGACCACGGTAGCGAGCCTTTGAGCGAGAGACACCGAAACGACCCATCTCTGGCCGAGTTCTCATGAGCCTTGAGCGCAATTTCTTCACAATCTTATTTTATGCTTTCCCTAGGCACCTCTCTCTCTCTCTCTCTCTCTCTTAATACCCGGATCATGAGGCTATCACAAAACTGATCGGGTTTTCTGATCTAGTCCGAATCAGACTAGCTCTCCATTATGGGAACTAGTTTAAAAAATAATTTTAAATTTAAAATTTTGAAGTTAAAAAATAATAAAATATTTCAAATGGGTGAGAACCGAGTGATCGAGACGATCTGAATCGCCCTATTACATTCCTTGATAGCAAGAAGAGAGCCTATAAAAAATTGGAATAATTCTTGGTTCCAACAAGGAATTCAATCGGTCCCCGTTGATTCCTGATATGTATTCATGATTTTTAAAACACTACTCTTTGATATTCACGTACTCACATTCTAATAGACCAAAACTAGCTCCAAAAGCAAAAATGTTTGAAGTTCATAATTGAATGTTGATAGAATGCTTGGCATGATCATAGAAAATTTATGGTCATTAGATTCTTCAGAGATATTCGATAAAATTGGAACTGACACAGAAAAGGTATAGTCATTAGTCGCTCTTGAGCATTGTTGGACACAACATACCCGCTCATTCATTTTATCTCCTAGTGCTCCCACTGCTGTTTCTACGTTGTCCTTCCATGGCTTGGACCTCGAATAAAGCATAATTATAGAAGTTATTTTTTCTTTTTTTTTTAAGTATAAAATTTATATAGTGGTGAGGCCTTAATCAATCAAATTAAGGCGCACTTCAAAATTTAACTAGAAAAAGTTGTTTTTGCTGTTGAAAAGCCCTCAATTCGATCATATCAACCTTAATATATATGGATGTCAGAAAAAATAGATGTAAAGTTTTGAAAATGAAGTATCTTGTAATGTATTATCTAGACCATCAAATTAAGGCGCACTTCAAAAATTCATTAGAGGAAGTTGTTTTTGCTGTTGAAAAGCCCTCAATTTAATCATATCAACCTCAAGATATATGGATGTCAGAAAAAAAAGATGTAAAGTCTTGGAAATAAAGTATCTTGTAATCTATTATCTATACCATCAATTTTTTAAGATTTTTAAGTGTTCACGGATCTATTTGATCTACACTTTTTTAAGTTTTTAAATTTTATAAGATGAAAATAAATTTTCAGACTATCACAAAGATTTCTAATACCGAAACAACATGTTTCGGCACTATTTGAAGGTGTGCATTGTTTTGAATGGTTAGGGCCTCAGCTTTATACAAACTATACCTTTTTTTAATATTTAGATGCCATATTTTATAAAAAGAACACAAACAAGGGATTCAATATGCTGATATTTCTATACGAAGAAGCTCAAATGGTCAATACACAAAAGAAAGAAGTTTATATAAGGTGTCAACCTTTGAATGATCTTTATATAGGTCATTATAAAGCATGAAGGTTTTTGCTTAGAAATTCACTTGCATGAGATATTGCTCGTCTCCTTTCATCTTTTTTCCTTTTTTATTTCTTTATTTCTTTTTAGTATGGTGGCTTTGTGATGGTTGTGAAATGAGGTATACGTCATTTTTTAGAAGTTTTCGTAATTGGGCTTGTATTTTCCGATGCTGAAATTAAAAGACTCCACTATTCTTATTGTCAGTTCAATTGCTATGAAATCTGTTCAAGCTGAGGTTTTCAATTGTTGATAACATGCTTCTGACAATGATTCTCTTTCACAATATCGAGATGAAATACAATTGACATGCTTCTTTTGGCCTCGAACAGACGGGTCGAACTGTACGGGGCATTCAATTTATGTTGGATCAGCATTTGAAAAATGGGCCAGTTGGGTGGATCATCTGCCCACCGATCCCGTGTCAGATCACCAGTTCATCAATCCAGAAGAATATTACAAAACAAGCTTAAAAAGAAAGTTAAAAAATATGAAGGGTGGTGTTAGCTAGGGGAATGAGTCGGTACTGATTCCTTCTCGAAACTGGTTCAGCCCAGGCTGCTTCCTAGTCTATATGGGGTGATTCCCGATTTAGAGTGCGATTTTTGAAACACTTATTGAATGATTCAGAATGCTGCTAATATAAAACCTCACCAATCCAATACACAACCTCCCCAATCAATCATGGATCTATGTGCTACAATGTTCCTTATAGTTCATAATGAACCTTAAGCCTGGACTTCAACGTATGAGACTGATCCAACCATTCCATTCAACTTTCAGATTCAGGGGTTTGTGCTGGTGAATTGCTTAGAACCTACAGAACTATCTTTGCTCCAGACATTCCTCATGGAATTAGATCGGTTTTAGCATTTGTAGAGTGTACCTGTTGATGTATTTGCGTTTTATTTGTACTCTAAGTTTTTTGTTTGGAAATTATAATGTAATCAAATTGGTCATATGGGATAGGTGTTCATGAGGGCCATCACCGTCCAGTCAATGGATGGTGATGGTGAGAGGAGCACTCTCCAAAAGATTACATGACATGGATGATGGGTCGTTATCTGTTTACATTACCATCCAACCCATTGATTAGATGCTGATGAGCCTCATGGCCATATATTCCTGGTGGTAATGATGATTATGTCATACAGACCTTGTTTTAGTTGTGAATTCTCAAAAGAAAGAAGGGCGTGGTTTCTATAAGGTTGCAACCTTAAACAATCCAATTAAGGCGCACCTCCAAATTTTATCATATAATTTTGGCGTAAAAGATTCTTAGGATTATCTAAATATCTATGGAAAAAGTTTTATAAGGTTGCAACCTTAAAATGTAAAATTACAAATGCTCCTCAAAAATCCATCAAAAAATGTTGTTTTAATGTTGAAAAACCAAATGCACCTAAAAAATCCATCAAAAAATGTTGTTTTTATGTTGAAAAACCCTCTAATTGATCATCTCGACACCAAGATGTATGAATATAAAAAAAAATATTTTGAGTCCTAGAAATAGTGCATCACATTATCTAGACCGTCCATTTTCAAGATTTTCATATGTTTATAGAGCTACTTGATTTTAATCATTTTTTTATTTTAAAATTTTATAATTAGATATGAAAATTGATTTTGAGATAATCCTAAGAGTTTTTTACACCAAATTACATATTGTGTATAAAATTT